AAAAAAAAATAACCCAACAAAAAACCCCCCCACATCTGAATTCCAGAGTATTTGTAAAATAAAATAATAAAAAAAAAAGGCAACATCTCAGTAAATAGAATGTACAAAAATTATATGTTCTACCATCACACAGTCAGTAAGAAGCTAAAATATTACAGGCAAGTCTAGATACGCTCTAGCTAGGACAGGAGCTATCTATGTACAGGTACCAGCTTTACAGGCTTCACACTATGCAAGAGGACAGAGGCCGAACACAAACCCCCCAACAGATCGGATATCTCAAAGTCTATGCGGCAACATCAAGTCATGGTACAGTAATGCCCCGTGGAATCGAACACTCCTCCTCAGTGTCAGGGCTGCGTCAGCGTCCAGAACTCCTCGATACCGACTCAGTGAATATCGATGCTTTGCTATTAAAGACTCGAGTGATTTCATTAAAATAACATCTCACAGAATCTACAAAGTTTGTTACAGATAAACAAAGTCTACAGAAATAACGACTCTACAAAGGTCCATCGTACAGAGCACGTGGGGATGGAGACGGATCCGCGGGGATCTGTGTTGTGCAACATCACTCGCGTGGAGACCAACGGGTCGGGGCCCTGGGAGCTCCCCAAATGCAAACAGCCCCCAACCCCCCTGACCTCCTGGCTCAAATGGGATGTGATCACCCCTGGGCTGTGGCAACGCCATCAGCTCGTCGGAAAAGTGACACCGGAGATGAGATACAGCTTCACCTGGGAATAGGGAACGTGGGGGGTCATCCAGTCTGGTTAGGACCCGAAAGAGAGTGGGAACTGCTTGGAGGAGCTCCGAGGGACCCCCAGGGGGGATCCCACACAGTTGGGCTCTCCAGAAGGGACCCCAGGCAGCCACCTGCCCTGGAGCTGGCAGCGGCACAGGCAGGGCACAGCCCTGGGATCAGGGAGTGGTGAATGGCTTTGGCAAATTAATACACTTTTCCCTTTTTGATTCACATTAACCACAGACATCTCCTATGCAAAGCACAGTCTCAGCTCCTCACCTCCCTCCCAGGGAACATGGACCTGAGCTGCTCACTCAGGAATACAGTGTCACAGGGAACAGCTTTGCTTTGCTTTTCTTCTTTCTTTCTTTTTTTTTTTTTTGCTTTTTTGTTTCCTTTTTCCCTCAGAACAACACTGGGAATACATCCAAAGTGTAGGAGTGTATCGTTAAGTGCAAATGTTTTTGCTACACAAAGAGAAACGCTGGGGAAAGCTGATGGGAATGGGAAGCAAAGGAACAGCATCGCTCCAAGGTCGCCGTCTCCCACGCAACCCCTGGTGACACAGCTCCGAGACAGCCGCTGCCGAAACCCCCGTGTGCCAGGGACCCACGGCACAGCAGGAGCAGGGAGGAACTCGGGGGAAGTCAAGGACATTTTCAATGCAGTATACAAAAAAATTATGTATAAATAAAAAAGCTGTATAAGGAACCGCAGAGCTTCAAGTACATTAAACCCTGAATTCGATGAGGCAGAGGTTTCCATGTTAAAGTGACTTCTCCGTACCAGCGTCGGACACCCTCATCCCCCCTCCCCCCTCCCCGCCCACATAATTCTGTAAAGGTTCAATATATACAGATTTTATGCTCACTGATAATTACGTCTAGTAATTGTGTCCTTCCCATTCTATCCTGAAATTAAGATACAAGGAGGTTGGGGCGTTTTCTAGAAGGAAAGGCCAAAATTCCACATTCCAGCCCTATTACTCCGTTTGAACAGATTCTCCAAGACCATGTGGTGACCAGAGGAGGTGATCTGCCCACAGGACTGCCTTCCTGAGCTCCACATGCCTTCGGCAGCCTATGGACAGGACAAGTCTACACAATAATCTGACAGCTACAACAGTTAATGCTTGCACGGTGTGTTCAGGAATGGTGGAACCAGCCTCTGCACTACTGGAATCACAGAATTCGAGCTGCTGACCCACAGAATCATGGAATTCTAGTTTCTAGGTCCTGCATCTGGGCCATGGCAAT